ACCGTTAGCTTCGAGCACTGTATGAAATGTTTGCTCTTTATTCAGCATCTGAACCATTTCCCTGTAGTCTTCGTCAGCTATTTCATTTAGAATAAGTGGCTCACAGGTTGCTGAAGTAGACGGAATTCCACATCATTTGACAAGTCATATTGTTCATGAAAGTCAGTATGTAGGTCTAGAGTTCCTTCAGCCTCATCTTGAATTTCAGTGTGTTCTGTGTTTGGTGCTGCTTGTCCTGGATCAAGCTAATCTTTATTTTCTTTTAACATATCTAACTGTTCTTGAATCTGTGATACCTCTTTACTATGAACAGCGTACTGTTTCATTTGTTCATCAATGGCATCTGTCAAAAGTAAGAAGTTTTCTTGAAATGATGATGCATTTGCTATCAGATCAATTTCTTCGTTTCTTCATGCAGTGAAAAGCATTATTAACTCCCAAAAGTGTTTTTCTGGATGTGATTCTTTGTTAAATCAAACACTTCTGATGATTCTGGCTTTTGCTTGATTATGTTTTGAACTTTCATTCAAAATATCATCATCATTATGATTGTCATCATTTATTGTTTCTATAGAAAGACCATGAGTATCTACTAAAGGAGATTTCTTTACACAAGGCTTACCAGTCTTACCTAGTCTGCCAGTGTAACATGCTCTAAACTAAAGGGTCATTTAATGTACCTTTTTAAAGGGCTGCCAGAGTGTACATCATCAGAATTATCTTCCAACTGTTCAATTTCATTCATAGGTTTTAACAGTTGAACTATTTCCACTGGTGGTGAGGTGTTAGTAAATGTGACTTGACAACTTGATATTTTCATTAGAAGTTGGAGAGCTATGTAAACTGCTTCTTGAGCACTAATCTGAACACTGTTAAGAAATTTGTTTCCAATGTTTCTTACTTGTTTTATGGTAGAGTTCTTTTCTCTAGCTTCATCACGTGTTTCTCAAAAGCTCACTCATTCCTTTTTGTGCTTTTCATATATATGATACAATATACATAGCATAGACATTAACATCAAGCACAAACTGTATGTCCATATTTGCTCTCCAGATATTAAGACAAGCAGGATTATAGTTGTTGACTCTCAGTTCACTTGGACTCCTTTTTAAAAATATGGTTGGAGCATTAAGACAAGAAGAAACAGCAAGCAAGTAATTCTCTTCTGTTATATTTTAGTCAATAAGCAACTGATCAAATGTGATTTCTTTCCCTTCCTTCAAATCATTCAAGTGCTTATATATAGCTTTCCAAGATTCCTTGCGATGTTTTATTTCATTGGCAGACATATTCTCAATTAAAGGATATATAATTTTAGTTGATCTCATTGGAGGTTGAGGAAAATTGAATCTGCATTCCCTCTTTGCCTTCTTTTTGCAAGTGTGAGAATGTCTATGAATTTGTCTTTTAACAAGGTTTAGCAACTCAGTCTTATTGGAGGGTTTTTGATAGCTTATAATATTATCTATGAAAGCAGTGATGGCATCATTCCCATCCACTCCAAACACTGGAGCATCTTTGAGCCAGATCAGCATGTGGATATGAGGTGAGCCACATTGCTGGTATTCAACTTGGTGAAACCAGTCTCAAATGTGGCCTAAGGGTAGGGCATTGCTCATCAGAAACTTATAAAGAAATTGATCAAACTGATAATCAAAATGTATAGCACACGTAACTGGGTCACTTTGAATTAATCTGCACTTTTCCTCCCAGTTAAAGTTCTCCAATTCAATATTGGTGTATTGCTTATTGTCTACTAGCTGACCAATAATTCTAAGAAGATCATTCCACTGAGTTTCAGCAGATGAAAAACTGCAAAACAATGTAGCTGAGCCAAGTTGATGGATCATTGCAAAGAGATCTTTTTTATCTTTTTCAAAGTAGGGGGGTGAGCTCTTAATACCCACAGACATTTAAATCCTCCATCAAGATGAATCAATCACTCTAAATTTCCAGGTTGCTTTAAATATCCAGCTGTTAAAGGCCTTTTGTTACCCTTGGTTTTTCTCAGTGCTATCTGTGACATCCCTAAAAGGGTTTTCATTTGCAGCTTCTTGGTTTTAAAAAATATATTTTCCACACATGCGGTGCACCTTCTGTCTGAACATCTTAATTCTGATTTACAAATGTCGCAATAATTACTTTTTACAAGTCTTTTTTCATTTCCTGGTCTTGGTTCACTAAAAAATATACCTAGATATGCTAATTCCTCACAAAATTTGTCTTTAAATATACTTTTAGGTCTGCTGCCTTCACCAGGTGCAATATTGAGAATATTTTCATGTTCACTGTCGTCAACAAAATTTGTTGCTGTTAACATTGTATCAGTAACACCTGCAACGATTTCTGCCTCATCTTCACTCCACTCACCATCACTAGAACATTTCTGTTTCTCTGCATTGATGCTTTGAGAATTACCGAAAATGTTATTTTTTCCTGAGCACTCTTGAAAGTCTTCAGTACTATCATGTAGTTTCCACTCCTCGTTGAAGGTTATATC